ATATAATATATATGTGTGTGTGTGTGTGTATTATATATATTATATAATATATATATATATATATATATATATATATAAATATATATATATATATATATATGTATATATATATATGTGTGTGTATGTGTTTCGTTTTATTGGTATCTGTGTCTTTCTCTGTGTGTATCTGTTTCTGTATCCGTGTTTGTGCTTGTGTGTCTATGTATATGTGTATGTTTTTTATGTATGTTTATCTGTATGTACATATCTATATGTCGATATATATTCTTTACTATTATTTATATATTTATATATACGGGGGTATATATGTATGTATGTGTGTGTATACATATATATATATATATATCTGTCTGATCATATGTATGTGTGTGTGTATTCATGTATGTATGTATACATATGTACATATATAAATATATATACGTATATTTATTTATTTATAGAAATATATGTATGTAAATATATTTTATGTATAGATACGTATATATATATATATATATATTATTCATTATATATTGTGTGTAATTATTCATTGATATATATTTATTTATTCTTTTTGATATATATCTATATTTAAATATATATATATATTTATTATATTCATTATATATTGTGTGTGTATTTATTGTGTATATTTATTCATTGATATATATTTATTTATCTTTTTATATATCTATTTATATGTTTTGTGTGTTTGTGTGTGTGTATGTATATCAATGTCCCTACCTGACCGTCTACCTAACTATATAATAGTTTTTTCGATATCATGGTTATATACGTATGTACATGCATATACGTTCCTATTCTCACATTCATAGTTGCTTTTTATTTCTGTTAGGTATAATATATCGTGTTTATAGCTACTGATCATGAAGTCGAGCGATCTGATATGTATTACTATGTGAGAATTAAAAAGGGGTGATACCTCGAGTAGGGCATAGTATGGATGTTTAACCTACGGGGAAGGATTAAGATTGCGCACTGACATGGCTTCGTCTATCGAATCTTCCTATAATAGCCTATTATGTGACTTAATATTCTTTTCGCCTGTCCTCAGCTCGAACAATTTTGGGGTATCTATTGCTTCTTGAAAAGACCCGATGATTTCGGATTCTCAAGCGACTTCCATTGTTTCAAACAAGGAATTTTGCCGGTTTGGGAGGTAAGGAATTACGTAGTCTGCTGGGATGTCGCTTTTTACTGTGCTCTGCAATATCAATATTATCTTCTGTCATGAATTTCTCCTTAGTCTTGACCAGCGCCTCATTATTCTATTTTCGACTTGAATGTGCGCAGGATGAAAACAATAAAGTAGGCGGCAAATGGATTGTTCGATTAAGGAAGGGTTTAGCTTCACGGTACTGGGAAAATTTGGTAAGCCTCGCTACGTTTCTCGCTGGCAAGAGCAATTTATTCAATGGTGAGTTTTTATAGCATGTCCGTATCACTGTACATACTGTGGAGGAGTGTACGAGGATTCAAGCCAGCAGACTTGAGCCTGGCCCACTGATTCGTTCTATCTGATTTGCAGCTTCTAGCGATTATCGGGGACCAATTTCAAGTCGGACAAGAACTGTGCGGTGCTGTAGTGTCAGTACGGTTTGGGGAGGATATAATTTCTGTTTGGAATAGAACAGCCAACGACAAAAATACCACGTATAAAATAAGGTATGTATGATAATCAACTCGTTCTGCGTGTCGTTATGCTCAGTTAATTTTAAATAAAAAAGAGACTAAACTGTTCACCGCAACATCCACTTTGCAGAGATACCATCAAACAGGTATTGTCGCTGCCGCCAAACGTAACCATGGAATACAAATGTCACGACGCAAGCATCAGAGATCAGTCCTCTTTCCGAAATACAGACGTCTTCTCTTGAGTGCAACGGACTTTACATAGATGAAAGTAGATGATTTTTGCAATGTCGGCAATACGGACCATGTTGTGTCCCGAACGCCCACTAGTGAGAGCCATACAAACCTTAATAACGATGGTTAACATTAGATAGAATATATTAAAAATTAGTTGAAAGTTGCAATCCGATTTCACATACTTACTCTCGCTTGTTGTGCACTATTCGCGGCCTTGTCGATGAGAGATGCGCCGCTTCTCTAGCATCAAGAGGAGATTCTATTTTCAACATCATGGAAGTATTATCCTCCTTCCGTCGAGTGATGAGGAAACAATTGTTGGATGCTTGCATACTTGAGTTTTATTCTATCATAAAGAATCGCCCCAGGGAAGAGGTTTTGGCTCGCCTTGCTCTCGAGGCAACCATATTTCCGCACGTTCAGCTCTGATCCTTTCGTCCTTCTCTTTGCGGTATTCTCGCATCTTTTGCTGTGTCGATAGTATGAATGGGAAATGGCGATTAAAAAACGAGCTGAGATTATTCATAAACTAACTCATTGGCCGACTTGGAACTAACAAGACAATAAATCAGGGATATCTTTCTTTTTAAGTACATGGGTTCAAACATAAATACTACTCTTTCCACTCATGAAGACATGCTTTTCGTCTATGGAATATCTTAGACTCCATCTCACAAGGGGTATTATCTTTAATAGAGGTTTACAGTTTGAAGCCAGTCTACATACAGTTTGCACCTCGGGCGAGCTGAATTTCGCTTTCATGCATTCTTGGAATTCTTCTAAGTATGGGTAGCAGTCAGCCACTTTGCCTTCCCGCCAATAGTTGTTCAACTGATATCTGAAACCTGCAGAGGCGATGCAAATCAGGCGTCTTCATCGAGAGGCGGTGCGAATTGGAAACGAACGCAGTGTGAAGCGGAGTGTGAAGCGGAAACGGACACACTATCGGTTCCACAGCAGGTATAGCAAGCATGAGGACTTAATAACATCGAAATGAAGCAGCGATTTAGTACTAGCACCATCGACAAGGTGTGTGAGTACGATATACAACACTCCGTCGTCAACGAGAAAAGAATTCATACGATGCACGTATATGAACATAA